TGAGGGTGTGGGTGCGTGCTGGGTGTAGATCCGTTGAGGGTGTGGGTGCGTGCAGGATGTAGATCCGTTGAGGGTGTAGGTGCGTGCTGGGTGGATGTAGATGTGTGGAAGGGTGTGGGTGCGTGGGGTGTAGATCTGTTGAGGGTGTGGGTGCGTGGGATGTAGATCCGTTGAGGTGTGGGTGTGTGCAGGGGTGTAGATCTGTTGAGGGTGTGGGTGCGTGCAGGGGTGTAGATCTGTTGAGGGTGTGGGTGCGTGCAGGATGTAGATCCGTTGATGGGGGTGTGGGTGTGTGCAGGGTGTAGATCTGTTGAGGGTGTGGGTGTGCAGGGGTGTAGATCTGTTGAGGGTGGGTGTGTGGGGTGTAGATCTGTTGAGGTGTGGGTGCATTTTGAGGGTGTAGATCTGTTGAGGGTGTGGGTGCGTGCAGGGTGTAGATCTGTTGAGGGTGTGGGTGTGTGCAGGGTGTAGAATCTGTTGAGGGTGTGGGTGTGTGCAGGGTGTAGATCTGTTGAGGGTGTGGGTGTGTGCAGGTGTAGATCTGTTGAGGGTGTGGGTGCGTGCAGGGTGTAGATCTGTTGAGGGTGTGGGTGCGTGCAGGATGTGTCCGTTGAGGGTGTGGGTGTGTGCAGGGTGTAGATCTGTTGAGGGTGTGTGTGTGCAGGGTGTAGAGGGTGTGGGTGCGTGCGGTGTAGATCTGTTGAGGGTGTGGGTGCGTGCAGGATGTAGATCCGTTGAGGGTGTGGGTGCGTGCAGGGTGTAGATCCGTTGAGGGTGTGGGTGCGTGCTGTAGATCCGTTGAGGGTGTGGGTGCGTGCAGGGTGTAGATCTGTTGAGGGTGTGGGTGCGTGCAGGGTGTAGATCGTTGAGGGTGTGGGTGCGTGCAGGGTGTAGATCTGTTGAGGGTGTGGGTGCGTGTAGGATGTAGATCTGTTGAGGGTGTGGGTGCGTGCTGGGTGTAGATCCGTTGAGGGTGTGGGTGCGTGCTGGGTGTAGATCCGTTGAGGGTGTGGGTGCGTGCAGGATGTAGATCCGTTGAGGGTGTAGGTGCGTGCTGGGTGTACCGATGAGGGTGTGGGTGTGGAGAGGGATTAAGTTAGTCATGACCTTGAAGTCTCGTCGTTATACAGAATGGAGTGGATTGTTCACGTTATATCTCACGTCCGATTAAGTCTTAAAAAGTAATTTTTTTCCCCATGAGGGATAACTTTTATGTTAATAATATAGAGTAATATAAATTATTTCGTATATATAATAACATAATCTCTGTTAAATTTAAAACATTATTTATTATCTTAACAAACTATATACCCTACATTTGTTTATGTAATGTTAAGCTGTTAGGTTAGGTTAGTACAGTAATAATACAGAGTGAAACTATGGGCAAGTTTCTTTACGCCATTTGCCTCTGTCTACCGAGCAGTAATTGGGGACCTGGATGTTAATTGATTTGCGGATCGTATTCCAGGATAATGGTTAGCCAGAGCAGTTGGCGAGTTGTCCGGTCTTCTCAGACTATTCCTTGACACTGGGTCATGCAGCTCGTTAACTTAGGGTGTGGTAGTTGTGTTGACGACAGCTTCTATACCTTAAACAGTTTCATGCCTAGGTGGCCCTTGGGCCGGCCATTCTCGTTACACGAGGGGCAACCATTATATATCATTACTGTTACATTCATAGCCTGTTATTTGTATTAGGATTAACCACACATCCGTCGCTTCATACTGACTGTTTTTAATTTGTATAGAAAAGAAAAATCTTGACATTATTGTAGTTTCCCTATTATGCCACTCCGCACCATACTCATACTCTCAAAACTGAATCGATGAATTATTCTAACATATTCGCGGATACAGGTTACTGCCACCATAAACAAGTACGTGAATTCAAATACATAACTAAACATTGTCATTTCTTTAGGTTTTCCTACCCCCCCCACTCTCTCATCCCCGTGTTTCTGTCTCGCTAAGGATGACCAAGACTGGTGTGGGCTCCCCGGTGTTTATGGTCATGAAACTGTGCTGTTTTGCAACATCCATCGCCCTGGTCTTCGTCGTCTTCAAGTATTACACAGAAGACAACATCGCCTGCCTCACCAACTTGTACACATATTGGGATGAAAACATAAATGATTTAGACCCTAAGCCCAAGTCCCACACACACACAAGGCCATCGAGACTTACTGCTACATCGCCTCGAATTTTGGGCTTGTGAACCTCAGTCAACCTGTGAGTTTTTTTGGTCAAAACCCAGGTTCGGTGATATTATTTACCATGAATATGAATGAACAAACTGTCTATAATTCTTAACTACTGAGGTGTGTATAAATATAGGACCCTATCCCTCGCCCTATCGAAGGATTATGTATTTTGTGACGTGAAATATTGGAGCATTTGGAACATTAATAACACATTTTACCACAGATGATCAATGTACTCAGGGGAGGGTCTGTGTTGTGATCACCTCCACCCAGCACTGACTCTGATTCCGTTACTCATTATTAATTGTCCTTTCATCTAGAAAAGTGAGAACATACCAACAAATAAAAAAAGTTGGTGCCCAAAACAGTGTTCAAATTATACTGACTCTATAACCTAAACCTATGAATAAACCGTTCAAACTGGACACAAGTCCAAAGAGGCATCTCAGGGGCAGGAGTTACTGAAATTCGTGAACATTAAAAAAACCTTAATTACTGTGTTTATAAAGACCTTTTTTTGGTATAATAGTCCGTGATATTTATGTTTATGAAGACCCGTGATGCTTGTTTACAAAGTCCCTCAATGAATGTGTTTTCAAAACCCCTTGATGTTTTTGTTTACCGAGTCGATTAATGTTTGTGTTCACAGAGTCGCTTGATATTTGCATTTACAAATAACTGATATGTTTGCATTTAGACTTTCTCAATCTTTGTGTTTATAAAGACATCTTACTTTTGTTTTCATAAAGGCCTTTGATGTTTGTATTCACAGAGTCCCTTGATTTTTTATTTATAAGCGTCCTCTGTGAACTTAAACATCCAAGAAATTGGTATGTAATTCATCATTTATTTAGTATCGTTGTATTTGTCACCTTGTCCGCTGTGACTTACATGCAGGCAAGACAGCTAGCCACACTGATGAGTAATCTAACGTGTGCGTATCTTTATAAACCAGACTGCTGAAGGTGGTCAAATATTACTTAATAGTTGATGATGTATTATGTCTCTGGCCATGTAATGAGGACCTAAAAGCTTTCCTGCCACAACTTAACAACTTAGCTCCCTCGATCAAATTCACTGTGGAATTAGAGCATGACTGTAAATTGCCATTCCTAGACTCTGATACACAGAATAGGTAACACTTTTAAGTTCAGTATTTATAGAAAACCTACTAATGTGTGTTCATACATTCATTATTATTCTGCCCACCATAATAGAGTCAAACAGTCAGTATTTTCAACAATGTTTTTACGTGCTCTGAGAATTTGCAGCCCGGAATTCACTGATGAGGAATATAAATATATCTATAATATTGACTCAAACCTTAAATACCCTAGATCTTTCATAGACAAATGCCTGAACATTACTAAGAAATCTTTTTATAGAACTGATCCCAAGCCCACCCATGACCATAAGAATATCTTAGTATTACCATTTCACAAAAATTTCTCTCAAATTCCTTTACAACTAAAAACCTGGAACGTCAATGTGACATTTAAAAACTCATGCACTGTTAAACAAATGTTAATCAAGAACTCCCCCAACAACACAATTGGTTGCATTTATAAAGTTCTTGCAAGGAATGTAATATGTTTTACTTAGGCCAGACAGGTAAAGATCTTGTAACTAGACTTAAACAACATAAATATAGTGTTAGGACAGGCCAGGAATCCAATGCTCTGTTTGTTCATTTGAGGGATAACAAGCATTGCATTGACTGGGATAATGCCTCCTCAATATTACCTTGTAATTCAATTGACAGTAGGAACATCATAGAATCTAGTCTCATTAAACATACCGAAGCATTCAACATGAATTTGAGTAATGGCATGTACAAACTGGACAATTTTATAATTAAGAAGATTTGTAACCAGGTGAGAAGGTTGGGTCACCTTACCCTCTGACCTGACTACCGACCGTTGCGGTGCTATTTGAAGATGAGTAGGGTCATTACCTAATACCTGACCATTGTGGACCTGATCTCACCCTCCTCTGTATATATACACCTTGTTTTGTACTTCTCCTCAGTCTGTACTCACCCCTGAAGATGTGAATTACACGAAAGCGCTTGGGAACTTCGTGATTTACTTGCATATATATATATATATATATATATATATATATATATATATATATATATATATATATATATATATATATATATATATTGATAAAATCACACGGGAAAAGGGAAACAACGGAGCACCTTAGCTTTCGTGTGATTTATCAAGATTTATCTTATCCTCGATCATATGAAGATCTTGTATCCAACTGAAGAGGCTAGATCATATGAAGACATATATGAGCGCGATGATATATATATATATATATATATATATATATATATATATATATATATATATATATATATATATATATATATATATATATATATATATATGGAGAGGCAGAAAGATTCGTTAATATTAATTTTATATCATATTCCACCATTAAAAGATAAAGAAAACCGTTTTCTTTTATTCAGGGTGTTGGCCACTAGAGGGCGGCTCATCTGGGGCTACTTCTTTCCTTGTGGACTTGAGGTACAAGGTGTAAAAGGAATAGTACTAGAAAAATGCCACGAACATAAACGCAAATTCATTTATTCTTCAACCGGCTTAAAATAATAAAAATTATTTAAATCTGACGATAAATAATCTACCTTAATGATTTTTTATGAACTTTGTTTTGTTTCAACTCGTCGACTTTAAAATAAATAACGATTTAGCGACTCTGTTCGTGGTACTTTGTAACATTCCTTGTCTTATTCCCCCCCGATGACCGACATATAGTTTGTAAACAACAGTGTCAGGAGAATGTCCGGTGCCGAGGATTATCAGTTTTTAAGAACAAGACACATTAAGTTTTTACAAAGATGCCTCAGAGTTCTTCCTTACAGTGCCGTCACCTTTGATACGAGTCGGTAAGTCTAGTTAAAGCTTAATTGTTGAGCTTATACAATAAGTGAGACCACTAGTATGCACGATCATTTTGTAAGTTCAAATTGGGTAATTATGTAGGACTACTAACCAATGAGTGAAATTTATTAAAAAAAATAGTTGGTAAATATATCAGACTAACCCGACCGGGCTTCATAGCGCCGATGCTGCCCTATCATCTCACGTCCAGGAAATGCCTCAAATTTCACAATATCATAGCTTTCTATTTAATATACCGGGGAAGTTAGGTCAGGTAGGTTTGGTTGGTTAGGTCTGTTCTTCATACCCACAAATGTTAAGTACATATCATAACCTAAGAACATGAGAATGGAGGAAACTGCAGCGGGCCTATTGGTCCATACTGGGCAGTCCCGTTTACACCCTACCCCAATTGCTCATATAAGCATCCAACCTATGTTTGAAGCTATCCAGCGTATTCGAGTTAATGATGATATTTGGTAACTTGTTCCATTGATCCACTACTCTATTTCCAAACCAATGTTTAACTATTTTGTGCCTAAATTTAAATTTGTCTAATTTAAAACCATCGTTACGAGTTTGCTCCTGGTTGGATAGTTTGAGTACCTTTGTAATGTCCCCTTTGTTTAGCCGACTTCCATTTATACACCTCGATCATATCGTCCCTCACTCTACATCTCTCAAGGGAGTGCAAATTAAGATGCTTCAACCTGTCTCTGTACTCAAGGTTCCTCATGTCCGGGATTAGTCTTGTCATTCTCCTCTGAATTCTTTCTAGGGATTCTATATCCATTCTGTAATACGGTGACCAGATTGAACTGCGTAATCCAAGTGAGGTCTCGCAAGCGCAAGATATAGTTTTAGGATGACCTCTCTAGTCTTGTAACTAACACTCCTTTGTTTGAACCCAAGTACTTTATTAGCCTTGTTTTGAGCAAACACACATTCGGTATTTCTCTATAACATCGTTGTTCATCTGATATCTGGTTTCACTGTTTACATTTCCTAGACTCAGTACTTTACATTTGTCAATTTCAATTCCATTTCAATTGTTTATTCCTTGATAGAGGAAGCGGGATCCTAGTGCTGTCACTAGGTACCCCTGTACAATAACACCAGAAGCATCTGGCAAGTGTGACAAGTATATCCAGTATAAATATTATAAAGGAGCCTACTAAAGCCTAAGGAAGGAAGGAAGGAAGGATATTCCTTTAACACATAATCAATGTTATTTACATAATATCTGGGCAGTATGGGGAGGATCATCGTGTCTCCGTCAGGGGGTCACTTACATTTGCCCACATTTGAATTTCATATGCCATTTTTCAGTAGCGTTTATTTTAAAAATATCAATTTTGTAACATATTTCCACAAATTACAACAGTGTCCACTATAAAACACAGTGAGATCACAGTGTTTTTAAAATCCTTATCTATGAAAAATCAGCGACGGGTCAATCATAAATAAGTACAGTACTGTTTTTCTATCTAAGATCATAACTCACCTGTAGTGGGCTGGGCATGAAGGATGAGGGAAATTGTGAGGTAAAACAAGGTGAAAAACTGATCATATGAAACTAAAATGATGTCTCTATGTGCTTTGTACATGAAGAAATTAATTATTTGCCATTAATACTTCGATAAAGCTACTGAGTCAACTCTTGTCCATTTCGTTTACAACTGACCCGCTTGATCCGAGTGATCTCTCACCTCCACAAAAGACATAAAATTACACCATGACGCTTCAACTAAGTTGCTTTCATTGATACCAGATTTCAAAATAAGTACGGTACTTTCTGTTTAATATGGTAGGGGGTCGGCGAGGAAGTTAGGTAAAGTTAGATAGGTTTCTTTGGTTGGTTAGGTCAGGTTCTATTAGGTTCTAGTAAATGTTGCCCTTTTAAAATGCTTACTATAATGATAAGAACATATCGTGAAAAATTAAGAAAATTTTTAAACTTTTTCTGGTGGTAGCAGTGTTCTCATACATTACCTTAAAAAAATTTTCTCGTGCTGTACGTTGTAATTCTGCATTTTACGATGGTTGTGCCCCGTATCCAGCAGCTTAAGAAGTTATTCAGTGCAGATATTGTCCAGATTACCTGTGATCCTTAAATACCTATGGTAGAAAATTTCACAGCACAAGATAAATTCTTTCTTACTTCATGAAAAAGGCAAAAAGTGGATGAGGAAAATGTTTCCCATAATATAATTCTTACATCATTTTCCCTCTTGAACACTCGTCTACATTTGCGTCAGTCCAGCATGGGTTGATTGCCAAGTCTGGGAATATTTGTTTATAAAGTATGCTAATGTAACCTGACCTAGAATAATAGTCATCATATATTATCATCTATAAAATAATTCCTGTCGAAGAAAGGAACCATTCTCACAGCTCAGATGTACAGTCCATTACTAGCTACTGCTACAGTACAGTAATAATAAAGAACCCTAAAGAAAAAAAATCAAGAGTGAGAAACAATATATGTGTGTTGTGTTCTGTTGTCAATAGTAAGAGAAACAATTGAGACCCTGCAATTGTGTGTAAATGAGGCAGAAAGTCAGATTAGCAACCTGGGACTTGGTCACAATTTTCGTGATGCCATAAGGCAGCAGGGTCTACCATTAGACAACACATTATGCTTCCAATAACTTCCCAGGCAGTAGTACCTCCCTGTTTGGTAGCTGGCTACTACCTACTACAGTACCCACCTCTCTCCAGAGCACAGTATTATCTTGTTATCTTTCATTGACATGGGTAGGATGACCGTCCTGTTCTTCGCACTCTCCGGACTGGACCTCTTGGATGGCCTTAAGGAAGTGGAGAAAACTGAGATGCAGCACATCATCAACTGGATATACTCTTTACAAATACTGCCTGGTGATGATAAAGGTGTGTACAGTACTGTGTAGTCATTTGAAGATCTTTACATAATTTTAGAGACTGTGTATGGCACCATACGCACCTTGAATATGCAGATGTAATTAAAAGTAGACTCGGTATTTGTTGGACAGATAACAGCAAGTTTGTAGCATTTTTATAATCCACAATAATATACTGCATGTTAAGTTTGAAATTATCTCTCTCTCGAAAAATATTTTATACAACTACGGCAGTCGTATGTCCGGGTTGTCGTAAGTCAAGGAGTACCTGTATATATATATATACAGTATATATATATATACACATATATACACAGTGGTCCCCCGGTTAACGAGCACAATTCGTTCTAGAAGGTTGCTCGTTAACCGAAACCATTGTTTCAATGGGTTTTTGGGTAATTGGTTCCAGCTCACCGAAAATTACATACAAAATAAAAACAAATGCAGTAAAGTACGCTTACTTTGAGGTGTGCATGTAGAAGGCTCCTGGTTGATGATGATGGGAATTAGAATGGGGGTGGAGGAGAAGGGAGAAGAGAAGGCCTTGGGGTGGAAGATGGTCACCCCATGGCACCATTTCACCCATAAAATTTTAGTTCTCTTGGTGTATTTCAAGATTATTTTCTTTAAATCAACACTGCACTGCATTATATATTGTCAATATGTAAAATATATTTCAAAATGACCAATAATTTGCTTGGAAACACAGAAAAAAAAGCGTTTAGTTGAAGAGAGTCTCAAGCAAGATGTTACCTCCAGTGAAAACAGAGAGAGACTAATGCCTGTTTGCTGTGTTAAGAGGCTGGATGCCGTGCATTAAACTAGTCACTTTACCTTCAATTATGTTCAATGATTGTTAAAATGACTAAAAAATTGAATATTAAACTTTTAAAATTATTGAATAGTATAAACTTCTTGATATTTACTAAAATAGTAAGGAATTTAAGTCCTAGAACCGATTAATGTATTGGCGGACTGATACTAAAGCTGGTTGCCCGGTCAGTGCAAGCGAAAACATGTTGAGGTCGGTTCGTAAGAAATTCGTTAACCGAATTGAAGATCCTTATGGAAGGCATTTCGTTAACCGAAATTTCGTTAACCGAGGCGTTCGTTAAACGAGGGGTCACTGTATTGTATTTCCAATTACAGTTTATCAATTAAACTATACTGTAATTTGCAATTTGATATTCACAACTCTGTACAGAACTTTTTGTTTCAATGTAATAACTCCTTTTATGGCTCTTCATCAAACAGATCAGTTGGCAAATGCTGGGTTTCGAGGAGGGACGTCCCTGGCCAGTTGCAGAGGTCATGCTGACTCAGTCAGTAGTATATCTTCATTTGACTGTGGACACATTACTATGACCTACACAGCCCTTGCTTCCTTAATTATATTAGGTGATGACCTGAGTCGCGTTGACAGAAAAGCAGTTTTAGCGCATGTAGCATCTCTACAGTGTCGAGATGGCAGGTGAGCCAAATTGCTTATGGTACCAATTTAGTATAATTTATTTGATATGAATGCCATTTGTCATTTATTTTATAAGATATTACACGTACACACACATTCGTGTGTCATTAGTGATTTATCACACGACCCATCAGTGGCGTTTGACTGTTTTCACTCAATCATGCCATGGTGCTCACAACGCACACAAACACAACGCAACCAATACGAACATAGTGAGCGCCATGGTGTGACTGAGCCAAAACCATTAATTGTCACCGACGGATCACGTGGTAAATCACGATACTTGATAACTCTCAGGATCATATCATGTCTTTCTCTAACATTAGGCTACATTTATGCAAAATATTAGGTTCTTAACAGATATCGTTTTTGGTGGATGGGAATGATTTAGGGTTCTCAAATAAAAAATCACCATATACAGGATGTACAGTATAATCTGTATTATTCATTATTTTCAGTTTTTTCTCTACTCGTGGAGGCAGTGAAAATGACATGCGGTTCATGTACTGTGCAGCGACCATCTGTTACATTCTTCAAGACTTCTCAGCCATAAATATCAACACTGCTGTCCAGTATATCATCAACAGCATGGTAATATGCATTGCAATGAGTATTGAGGATGTACATCAGAAAATTTTTTCATCAAAATCTATAAATACAGTGTACGGTAATCTTATTTTCATTCTTGATGCTCTTTGCTAAGTTTCTCTTGACTGCCATTCTTTGCCTTCATTTAATTGCCTGTACTGTACTGGGAATAATATTGTGAATTCCCAATCCAATGCACAGTCATTGCCCTCAAAAGGAGGTCAAAAGTAAATGGTGCCTTCTGGAGGCAGGAGGTCTAATTAGAACTGAGCTACTAAGTCAGTACTTCTTGCCACCTTCACACCATCTTATGTCAGTTCCCAACATGTTTGCCCCATGTTACAGTTTAGGGATAAGTGACAGGGACATTAATTTAGTTGTAGGTACAGCCCTGCACAATAATCTTAGGATGCTCTTGAGTGCAAATACAGTAGCAACACCTGGCATTTATTGTGGTGTTTACTACAAATATTTTTAAAATTTACTGAATAATTTTAAAGTTTAGTAACTGAGCGGCTCCTGCACCACACACACTGTCCTAACAACTCTAGTTGTGCAGTACAGTATTTCTAGCTTTTTATGTGAAATGCCTTCTTTTCTTTTTTTTCTTTTTTTAGGATTTATTTATTCACTGCCATTTTGTTTGATGATAGGCAGAAAGTTTGTTGAGGATTTCCCATAATTGATGATTATAAGGAGCATAAGAGCTTGCGTGTGTGTAATAATAATAATAATAACGGTAAATTAAAATAACATGGCAGCCAGAAGGCTGAAAATATACAATAAACGGAGATAATAAGTTACTTATGGTGAAATAGGGGAGTGGGTCACTTGATTGACAAAAGCTTTCAGTACAAAAAGATAAGAAACAAAGAGTCAACATATAGATTAACTGTAGTTCTGGTACTGTGGGAGTTGGTGTTGTAAACAGTCTTGTGACCTTGATATTGGCACCAACAAAATCCTTCCCACTGTTTGGATGGCCATCATACCTAGGTGCTAAGCCTTTCCCTCACTACAGCTGCAGTTGTTTAGCACATCCACCACGTGGTCCGGGTAGGTCCTTCAGCTCACACAGGGTGTTGGAGAAGGTTCTTGTTCCTCATGTGATGTAGTTTGGAGTCTTTCTTGGCTTCTCATCCAGTGTTGGTGGTGGGGAGTGTATAGCGGACCCTGGGTGTGTCTGGCCCAGTCAGGTAACCATTGACCACTAAGTACTGATTGTCACTCTTAACAGTTGTTTCTTTCTTTCGAGTTGAAATTGTCACTTATGTATATCAGTTGTGGGTTGATGGTCAATCTTTGTACTGTATTGTTGGTGGGGGTGTTGATAAATCCAGCCGGGGAGGAGGAGATGGGGATAGGGAGTGCCCGACAGACCAGGCCGGCAGCTGTCTCCATGGCCTAAAAGACCACGGCCGCCTTAGCTGAGCAGCGCCGTGTGTGTGTGTGTGTGTTTCAGGAACTACTCAATCACTAAACTTTAGAATCATTCATAGAATTTTATGCCTATGTGTAGTAAACACAACAATAAATGCCAGGTGTTGCCATCTACACACAAATGTCTAAGATTATTGTGTTGGAATCTACTATCATTGCAGTATAAATAATATTAATTTTGTCTTACTTGACTGTTTCATATGGTTTACAGTACTTACCATATGTTTTGTCTGACCTTCTCTGAGACTGTGTAAAGGAATGAGTCTTTTGTTTTCTCCTCACCAACATTCAGTGGTTTGGTTTATTATCAAACAGTGATATGCATGAGATCATTTGCAATTGTACCCTCACCTGAAGATTAACCACCCCATATAATTTAAGGGGTGATAAACCTTTATGCTGGTTAAGCTGGGGAAGAAAACTTCATGCGAGAATGTAAGTGGCTAAAATTGTGGATGGTCTCGACTACACCACTGCAGTAATCTCCCTGTTAGCATTCCGAGAGAAATCTCTGTGTTCCAGGCATTCTAATGCATTTCAGAGTAATTGTATTGTGTGCTGAGCGTGTAGGTGAGTAGGCTCAGAGTGCTCATAAACTATGATTGGCTTCTACTGTCATGTGACAGGAATCTTGGAAAATATTATTTAAAATTTAAAAAATATATATATTTACAATTATGTGGGTCATTTTATATTTTTGTGGAGCAGCATGGCATGGACCACGTAGTCCCACCAACATACTCTAAGAGACATAACTCAGAAATTGTACAGTATGTGAATACTTTTTTTGGTTTAAAAAAATCGATTTTATTTGTAACACTGCTTGTTATCTTTCTTTCTTATGTGAATTGTCCTCTAAATATGAGATTACTGTACCTCTAATCACAACACCTGAGTCTTGTACTCTTGTGACATTGTCAAATGCTCCATCAAACATACAATACAGGGTGTACAGTACAATACTGTATGTGTATTTTGGGTCATAAGCACCGATATGCATGAGAAGTTGTTGGTTCTTTACCTTAGTATTACATAGCCAATGGGAGTTCAAGGTTTGTTCATGTATTTCTTAATACCTGTACAGTATTATCTAACCATAGGTCAGTTTAATAAAATTGCTCCCATTGGTGGTGCACTTGATCATAACACTTAAGCCTTCAGGTACCTCATCCTCCCATACAGTACCAGAAAGCTTTGGTTTATGGAGTTGTGAAATTCTGATGTAATTTATAAATGAAAAAGTGGAACTGAAATTCTATTTTAATAACTGAATTAGGATCAAGCAATTTATTATTCCTCCCTCTTCTTTTGAGGGTGCTGAGGTAAGCTAGATCTGTAGTGATTAATCAGGTTTGATTACTTTATAACCAATGTCAACAAATGAATAGAGGAGAGCAGTTCTTGTTATTCTCACAGCAAAATTCTCAGGCCTTCTTCCTATTCTAGGGACTTTCTTACCTGAAAGTGAAGGATAATCTGATTATAATTACCCTCAATGTCATTTATGGTAGTTCTCAGATCCCAGTTGGGGTTTTGACCTCTAGACTTGAGACTCTAAAGAATTTCTCAGTCCTGCTGGTAAAAAATGAGAGTTCATGGTCACTCCTCCAGTTGTCTTTGTTTACAATGAATCTTAATTTTTCTGTGTATTTTTAAGCCTCTATATTTTAGTTCATGGACAGTGGTAATGCTCTCATTTTATTTTCAGAGTTATGAAGGAGCTATGGGTCAGGGAATATACTTAGAGAGCCATGGAGGAAGTAGCTACTGTGCAATTGCAACTCTACATTTGATGGGGAAGCTGAGTTCAGCTCTATCCAATATTCAGGTTTCTATGCCAATTTCTTTTTATTTTCATATACCCAAATATTTTTTTAGTATAAATTTTTACTGTTTTTGTTTTTATTCATAACTTTGTGTAAATAGTTAAAAATTGTCAGTAATGGGAGACTCCAATTTACAAATCGATAATCATATTCCCATTGATTCCCATTATATAATTGGAGATATACGGTCTATCAAAAAATCCCATTCTTGACCCCTCGTGAGTTATTGTGTCACCCGAATTTCCTGCTGCTTTCTTCACCGGGCGTGAACGCTGTTTGACGTAGGATCGATGTTGGGTTAAGCATCGGGTTTCAAGGAATCTTGGTTCTTAATGGGTGTACTCTGTACTTTTTGTTTAATATTGATTTTATTTTGCCCTCACAATACCCTCAAATAAATACAAAAGTGAGAGAGCTGAGTTCAACAGTGCTAAAAGGAAATGTAAAGTGCTATGTATAAAAAAAAAGTGGGACTAAGGAGAGTCTATGAACAAAGTACTTGAATAAATTTATGTACGAATGGTTCAAGCTATGACACAATGAAGGAATTGCCATTTCTGGACCAATGCTTTGTAATAAATGTCATGTACTGTACAGTATTTGAAGCTTCCAGTCAACACACCCCCCATCACTACTCATGCACCCCAATATCACACACACACATGCCCTCCAACACCACCCACACACCCCCAACATCACACTCACTCACTCACTCACACGCCCTCCAACACCACCCACACACCCCCAACATCTCACTCACTCACTCACTCACTCACTCACTCACTCACTCACTCACTCACTCACTCACTCACTCACTCACTCACTCACACACACACACACACACACACACACACACACACACACACACACACACACACACACACACACCTTTTCAATTGCCCGCCTGCATTACGTTTACTATTCATTAGGTGACTTTAAAGTAGTTGCTTTGGCAGTCTACTGTCGTCCATATGGGTAACATGGTCAGTCCAGAGTAGTTGTTCATGGATAATGATAACCTCGTTGCTCCTGCAGTTGGTGTCAGCAAGAATACTGGCATTCGTTCTCTTGTCTTCCCATCGAATACAGAGGATGGAACATAGACTACGTTGGTGAAAGTTTTCAAGTGCCTTGAGGTGCCTCCTGTATGTAACCCATGTCTCACTGCCATATAGCAGGGTGAGGAGGATTACTGCTCGATATACTTGCAGTTTTGTAGATAATTTCAGCTCCCTACAGCTGAAGACACGGTTTCGGAGTCTGCCAAAGGCTTGAGATGCACATCTGATCCAATGCTGAATCTCTTCATCGATGGACAGGTGGGAGCCGAAATTGCTGAAAGCGAGAAGGAGCAAGCAATGCCTGGACCTTAACACTTGACATAGTGCTGCCACACTAGATGCATTTATGCCACCCTGTGCGCACACACACACACACACACACACACACACACACACACACCCCCCCTCCAACACCACCCACACACCCTCTAACACCACCCACACACCCCTACATTTCCCACACATACTGGCCACTATCCAAAATTTCTCATCTACCCTTGATATATCTCTGTGTACACTGTCAAGCAAGAAAATAAAACAGACATATAAAGCAAGCATAATAAGCAATAAATAAGGAATGTAAAGGATAAATTGAGACTATTTACTTGTTTTGATGATGGTAGAGACAGTCTAGAGTTGGCATGTTCAAGTCTCTACTAATCTTTGCTGGTCCATCACCACTCTTATTATACCTTATTACGCATTATCACATAACATCAAGCTGCCCCTAAGAGGAGCAGCGCAAGAGGAACTATCACTGTGGCGTTTATGTACGATTGCATAACAAAGTCAGAAATAATGACAAAAAACACAAGTGCAGTGAGGCAGGAATGAGTCAGAGGCAGCACGCAGAGCCCTCTTGTGGCAAGAATTCGTACCACACCACCAGCCGCCAAATTCAAAACAGCTCGGCCGCTTCTCCCCCGATCGTCGGATTTCCGGGGTATCAACAAAACTTGAGGGGTATTTCCCTTATATGTAATTGATGGTTATGCGAATTGGAGGTTAATGGGACGTTGGTTTTCGAGGTATACATGTATATGTACACTCGCACCAAAAAGTATCGGTGCAGGGTGAGATCGACGACTTCTGAAACGATACGTATACACTGTGATATGTCGGGAAGGTTTTTAAGTGTATCCTCATAACCCCCCCCCCCCCTCCACTAGGTGTTGCCATATTGCTGACAATCAGTGTGTTTGTTTCCTCTTTTCGGATTGTTGCTTAGTGTCGACTGAATGACGAGCGAGGGTTCGGTCTCGGTGAACGTGGGTATAAAACAGAGGCAATATGAAGCAGCAGAGACCTACACATGCCAGACGACACGGAAACCTCAGAGGGAACACGAGGAGCTCTTATTGCCCTTCATAACGAAGGGTTTGGCGTCACAGATATTAGCCGGCAGGTTGGTGTCCACAGGAACACCGCTGCACGATGGATTTGGCGATACCTCGAAACTGGTGCTGCAGACGACAGGTCTCGGAGCGGCCATCCACGCTGCACCACCCCTCAGGACAACCAGGTTGAGTGGTTTATTTGGCAGCATAAATTAATGTGGCAATATTCACAAGTATCACAAATAATTTTGTTAACAGGGAGCTCCTCATATTTCATACTGTCTATTTATTACTTCCCGACCTTATTTATAACGGCTTGTTTCACTTGACCAGGCCTTAGTAGCTGCTCATCAGGATTACAGGGCTGCCAACATACGGCTGGAACAACTCGCCTTTCCCAATACCTATCGTCACTGGTCTCAAATTGTTCACACTACAGTATGCACCGATAGTTTTTGTTGCGAGTGTACTTATATATTTATTTTATATTATTGATTTTATTTTATTTTATTAACCTCAAATTCTCATCATAAATTTAATTTTTGGTAGGAGAGTTGCTGTCATTTTAATCGACAGTCGGTTTTAAGAACAATCTTGTAAACAGTGTCAGTATACAGTAATACCCTGTTTAATGGTTAGGATACATTCCTGGATAATACGTAGAATGCTATCCAAAACAGTATGGTGGTGCGCTCTTGATGACGTTATTCTGTATGTATGAGAATATATACAGTATACAGTGCATGTATTGCACATGAAGGGTACAGGTATTAAAAGCACAGATTATTACAGTAATATATATAGGTTCTCCCCTACTTATGAACTGGTTAGGTTCCTGAGGTCTGTTCGTAAGTCCAACATTACCCTCGTCAATACTGAATATTGTATACAGCATTTTAAAAAAGGTTGTACAGACAGCATTACCTCAATAATGCTCGACAGTATTTCTTACCAGCCTTAAACGATATTTTAATGTAGAAATATCATGTACAGTATAGTAACAATAGCATGTACAGTAATAATAAATAAAGGTATTTATAAGGTTACTGTACATGACTTACTTTATTCCTGGTGCTGCCTTGCTTGCTGGGAGTGATGTTGCTTGCAGGGGTGTTGGAGTTAGTTGGAGGATGATTGAAGATGAGGGTGGAGAAGGAGGATGAACAGGGTCTGAGGTCCAGGTATCTGGTTCTGGGGCACTGGGAATGGCTTTAAAGGTTGTATAACCTCCTGTAGATGTAGATAGCATTGGTTCTTGATGTTCCGGAGATTATAATTCCCCTTGCTCCTTGTGTCCCATCTCAACTCTCTTGGAAAACTTATCAAGAGATGTCTGCACAGTTAATCTCTTCTTTTTTTCATGAATTATCTTGTAACAGGCAATAGCATCGTGAACAGCTGCAGACACTTTTGTAAATCTTTCATTGTTTGGTCCTGAGACTCAAAATAAGCTAGTACCTTCTCAATCATGCTGAAATCTTCAGCCAGCTACTTAGAGTTGAACTTTTTGGGGTTCCTCAGGAACCTCCTCCTGGACTCTCTGTGACTCCAGTTCCGTCAAATCTTCGTTGGTCAGTTCCTGAGTGTGGCATTCCAACAATTCGTGGACATCATCTTCCTCCATTTCCAAATGCAGTTGCGTGCCCAGTTCCACTAGGTTGTTGGCCACTGAATCCACATTCTCTGTAAATCCCTTGAAGTCATTGGCAAATTGTGGGCAGAGCTTCTTCCAAACACCATTCATGTTGGAAGTCTTGACCTCACACCAGGAGGCATCAATGTTCTTAATGGCCTTGTAGATGTTGTAGTTCTTCCAGAACTCTCTCAGTGTCACTCCACTCTCCCCTTCTGTCTCCTTCACAGCCTGTGTGAAAGTTCTCCACAGGTAGTATACTTTAAAACTTGCTATGACACCTTGGTCCATAGACTGCAGTACAGAGGTAGTATTGGGAGGCAAGTACACCACCTTGATGTTGGCGTGGAAATCGTCCAGGAATGATGGATGACCAGGGGCATTATCTAGCACAAGCAGGATCTTGAATGGCAGGTTTTTGTTATTACAGTACTTTTCCATATCAGGTCCAAAATTATGGAAAAACCAGTCTTCGAAGAGGACTTGAGTCATCCATGCCTTGGGGTTAGCCTTCCACACAACAGGAAGTGAAGCTTTGACAACACCCTTGAGGGCCCTGGGGTTTTCGGGATGATACACTAACAAAGGTTTTAGTTTGCAGTCACCAGCATCATTTCCACCAGGCAGGAGTGTAAGTCTATCCTTCGATGCCTTAAAACTAGGCATTGTCTTCTCTTCTTTGGCGATGTATGTACGATCTGGCATTTTCTTCCAGTATATACCGGTCTCATCCACATTAAACACCTGCTCTGGTAGGTAACCCCTCTCATCATTAATTTCCAACAAAAGCTTAGGAAACTCCCTGGCTGCTACCATGTCAGCACTGGCAGCCTCACCACTCACTCTTATGTTGAGCAGGTTTGAACGAGCCTTAGACCTGTGGAACCAGCCATGGCTAGCAGTAAATGTTTCTTCAGCAACACTCACCATGTTAAGCCTTTACGTCTTCAAAGAGACTTATGGCCTTCCGCTGAATTAAATTAAGGCTTATCGGGATGCAGTGCTGATGCTGGTCTTCCAACCACACACTCAAAAGTTTTTCCATCTCTGTGATCACTGAGCCTCTTTTCTTACTAATGATTGTGGAATGCATTGGCACAGAACCTTTCACATGTTGCATAATGCGCTCTTTGCTATGCTTATCATTTTCTCACCTTTTTCACAACACCTTAGTTTTCAACGTAATAGTGCGACACTTCTTACTACCACCATCACCACTGGCATCACTCTTATGCTTCTGAGACATGTTGGGGGTCAGTAATATTCGTCAAAACCACAAATAACACTGTGAGGCACCAGAGGAACACAACAACAACAATGGTGCTGGGGATACAGGGTGACACCAAACAGCCAACGCTATCTATGGTGCAGCGGTAGAACTTACAACCCAGCGCGGTTTTCAAACAGGCAATTGGACATATGGACAGGTTTGTTCATATCTCTGATGTTCGTAAGTTGGGGAGCTCCTGTATTTACAAATTAATGAATAACAAATAAACAATATTGTACTATTTTGAATAATAGTCATTTGATGAACTAGCATGAGATGCAGTGCGTAGGTTGGTGGGTGGGAGAGAGAGAGAGGCAGTGGTGGGAGGGTAGGAAGGCAGGCGGTAGGCGGTGGATATCGTATGGCTTTGGTCTAGTAGACACTAATCCATTTTTGCATCACTGAAATTATGATATAGGTGGTGATAATAGATGTAGTGGTGATGTTGGGGGTGGTGATGATGAAGTTGGTGGTGTGGGAGATTGTGGTAAGTGGTGAGGAGGTGATGCATCTATCAGTTTCTTTGGTAAGAATTGTGCCTGCAGCACTGCGAGACACTTATGAACACCTGATATCTACCTACAAAATTGAGTGTAAATATAAGTGAGGAACATTGTATCCCGTCAACATTATGATACATAGCATTTTATAATAAGGAGTGAGAAAGCAAAAATGTGGGGGTGATTAGAGAGGTGGTGAGAAAAGGGAGTGGTAGCATGCACCTGGTGTTGCCAAGTGCTCCTCAGCAGCTGATCTCTAACCTGCCACCACACATTGTGCTTCAGTTAATCGCACACAATTTTATGTCAGACAATAAGACCTACACTTAATATAACAGCTTTGTGGTTGTAATGGCTGAAGCTTTTATCTTGCTTGCATTCTTATTAATGGCTCTAACAGTCGATGTAATTAAGTTGAAGGCTACACCGACATCCACCTGACGCTCACCAGCTTCAACCGTCTCAACACTTGTAATTCTACATCCAAGGAGATACTTTTCCATGGGACTTTAGATGCACTAGCAGCATTAAAACTTGCAGGCCGTTTACCAGACATGATGAGTAAAAAATAGTCACTAATATAAAAAAAAAATTGGTAAGTCAACAAGAATGTGTCCATAGTGTAAAACTGTAAGTGCAGCGAATTTGTACTGTAGACTGTAAACAGAGTACTTGGCGCTGATTGGCTGAGTGCGTAAAAGCAAAGGGAGCTGCTTTTTGCGAGTTGTGAGTGTTTGGATTTGTGACTTTCGACTACTGTACTTTTATGTTTTGGCTTTCTTTTCTTTTTTTCCCTTAGAACTCCAAGATGCAAGCAAGAGCACTGTAACGAAACAGTGCTCTACAGGGTAGCACTATTCAGGGTATTACTGTACTGTATATAAAAATTTAGGAGAGAAAGCTGCATGGTAGTGCTTTTAATTTGCAAACTTGATTTATAATGAATTTTTACACTGAAAAATATTCAGAATTTCTTTACTCATGTTCCTGATCATTGAATTTTTCAGAAACAAAGACTAGTGCGATGGTTGGTTAGTCGACAAGATAGTGGTGGTTTACAAGGCCGCCCCAATAAGCCACCTGATACTTGCTACACCTTCTGGATTGGGGCATCTTTGAAGGTTGGTTATTCATAGTGCAATTTGTTTTACATCTCAATCATTGTAAATGTATAAACTGGTTTTTTATTCAGTTTTCTTGTCATTGTGATTCTAAATATATTGAGTTGTTTCTTTGTTCTCAGGAGAGAAATATATTTATACACACATTCCTCTCACACAGTGTGAATTTGGGTAAGTCTTTGAACTTAAAAATTTATAGGATGCCAAGATAAGAAGGGGATTATGATCATTAATTTTTTATACACCAGTTCTCCCATTGATGTCCTTCTTAGGTTCCTGAAAACCATGACTTTAAGTGAAACGACATTAAGTGAAAAATTTTTTACCATAGGCGCAATTATATAAATAGGGGTTATGTTCCTTGGGTACATTTTTGTTCACAATTTTCTCACAACTTGCCACAAATGTTTCACTTTGAGAACTATCACCTTCTTGTTTTAAAGTTTCAAATAAACTTGTAGCTTTCGCCTGTATGGAGAGCAACGCATATGGAAAGTTTTGTTGATGTTGATCCTTGATCCACATGTTCAGAATTCTTTCCATATTTTCCATAATGCCACTTCTGTTATGTGTTAACATTGCAATAGATAATGGAGTAACACTTTTAGCACATGATATGATATTTTTCGCATTTCCACAAATTGTTCTTATCAACAGTTGTAGGCTGCAAACCAACAGCTATTGCTATGTCCACACTCACTGTCCTTCTTCAAATCTCTTTACCACATCTAATTTAACTTCTAATGTAACACCTTTCCTCTTCTTTTTGTGACCACAACCAGTAGTGGTGCACAATAGATATTTAGCACTCATTGTTCTATGGATCAAATGAATTTATAATTGAATTTTGAGTGAATGTTGGAAGAGAATCAACCAACCACCGAACGATAACAAACAAATATGGTGCCTGCCATAGAAATATACAGTGAAGCCATCCTGCTCTTCAATTGAGCTCAAACTAGCCGCATGAGCTGGGCGCCTGGTCAATGGTTCCTTTTGCCAGTGTGCGGATTGTACCGCTAACTTATTGTCTGTGGATGAAATGCTATCGTGGATTTATTGCACAGAAAACTCTAGTGTGACCTTAGCTTTAGGGTCATTCAGCAGAGGCACACAACCCAGACCCCCTACCCCGTTCAGTACACACGGCAGCTGAGGCCGAGAGAGGTGTGAGTGGAAATATCTCCACCAGTCATACACTCCTACACCCACCTCACCATTTTTTTTTATTATTTTTTTTTCTAAACCATACACAGTAAGTTAAATGAGCGTAAGATGTGACGCGACTGTATAAACGTTTCGGCAACTGTGCTTCAAATCAGCACCCATTCTTACTTTTTACAATATTTTTTTTCTCATTACATCATCATCTACTTCATGATTTACTCTTTCGTGTAATGTGCATTTTATTCTGACTGGTGTAATGATGTGGGTACAGCATGAAGAGAAATCAACAATAAACTCACACTTTTCACTTATACTCTCCAAAATGGCTTCGATTTATTTCTTTATTTATTTATTCTTTTTTGGGGGAGGGGGGGGGGGTAGTTCATGTGATTTCCTAGCCCTTTTTTACACAGGAAGGCATCATTTGAATAAATATTTGATAATATCTTAGCCATGGATAACGCTCGGGAAAAAAATCTCCGCGAATTCTGGTCATTCTGCAGGCTTCAAACATTGAGTGACAGGCTCGGGAAATAAATTTCAGGCTATCCCAAGAGTGTTAATAGTAGGATGATTGAACCTAACTGATCTGATAATTACATTTATTTATTAAGCTGAAGACAACTGCAGTTTTCTTTTCTCCCATAGCTACTTGGAGGTCTTGACTTCTTGAATCTGGAAGCACTGCGGCAGTTTGTTCTGTCAACACAAGACCCCATCACAGGGGGCCTAGCAAAATACCCTGACTCCCATCCAGATGGTCTTCACACATATTTGGGAATCAGTGGACTTGCCCTCTTAGGGCGAGATTGCCTTAAACCAGTAGACCCGGCCTTGAACATCAGTGAACGGGCCCTCAAACATCTCCACTCATTGCACAAATCTTCCACTCAAAACTCAAAGTCTACAAAATGTTGATGAGCAGCATTTGTTATAAGAGGCCTCATATGGTAGCTTTGTTATTTGTTTGACTTGTGCCAGTTGGGGTAAATTATAGATGATGTATACACTTCAGATATATTCTTTGCATGTAGAGTCATTGTATTTCATGCACATTCATATAACAAATGATGTTAGAATATGTAAATTGTATATATTTATATTTATATAAATACTGTATAGCTATAAACATTTACGTTCAGAAACAATGTCTGTGTTATATGTGGTTTTAACATTGAATTGGAAAAGGTTTAAGACAATTTTGTTATTATTAGTGTGGCAGTTGTGTATTCTCAATTGTTATTTTCAGTTACAGTAGTGTCTTAATGATACAATTCGTGTACATTCTAATCAAGTTGATCATTTAGAAGCAAACAAGTGATTGCAGGCCCTTCGTGCCCAGTGAAAGTTTGAATGCTCGTGCTTGGCTAGCGCGCAACCGCTGTCCAGCTGACAGCGTACAGCAAATGAGGGTGCGCCAAGTCCGTAGACTTGCATCGTTTTCCAGCGTAAATAAAATGGTTAATTAATGCCTTCCTAAAGAAACTATCAACATGTTCCACTCTACGAATTTTTTACGATTTTTCCACCAAGTTTGATGAAAAACGATTGTGCCGTTTCGGCTGCCCAGAACACACACACGACAAGGGCTAGAGCGTTTGAAGAGATGTGGCATCACCTTGTTTGTTTACATCCCAGGTAATTACATGAATGAACAGGAGTAACCTTGCAATTGTGGGCTGGCTAAAGACTTAGAATAAAAGTAAATCTTAATCTCTGAATGCAGGCATTTTCCAGTCTGATTCTGGTTTTATACAGAGTATCATATCGAAAGCCATTAACCTGTTAGCTGTCTGTTAGATAGTGGCAGTATGGCTAGGTGAAATGACATATAGAGATGGGGGGGGGGGGTGCTAGTAGTGCACCAACACACTGCTACTGTATCTAGTTCTGTGTGTGGTTAGTAAACCATCCTCAATCTTTAAATGTTAATGATTATTATTATTATTATTATTATAATACAGTATGTCCCCCAAGTTCGCGGTTCTCGGTTATTCGCCGATGACACCCTGGATGTACCAAGGAATATCTGTGGGTAGTTTTAAAGTGGCCGGCATTTTCGCAGCTGGGAGAGGGAACTATTTGTTCTAGAGACAGTAATTTCCTTTACCTGTATTGTAAATATATGTGTGTGTGTGTGTGTGTACACACACACACACGTATACAATACTACAGGTAAAAGAAATAATTGTCGTAAGGGCAAACACATAAAGGGAATATATATTTCTTTGTACACAAGTAAAAATGTAACACACCCGTCTGCAAATGTTATTCGAGGTCATTTTGAGAACCTAACCCCCGCGGGTTTTTTGGGGGGGGGAGCTGTATTTGGTTTTATTTTACATTCACAGTCAAAAAATTTCCAGTTAGTTAAGATTCGGACATCTGAAGTGCTTCCACTGATTCATACGACCGAACATGTATTCGGAATTTATGCTCTTCATTTCATCTTTGCGTCCAACCCTTGTCAAGATTGCATACATATTGTACATTGTATGCTTCTGGTGTACAGTAGGGTTGGGATATATCTTAACTTTATATAACGATTTTTTTATATCGTGGCTACCAAAATTATCGACATTTTCCTACATATAGCGATAATTTTTTTTTTTCCCGCTGGGGAAATCGGGCAGGAAATATTTCAAATGTACCGCCATGGAAAGCTTAATGGAAAAGATTTAATATTGTAACTAATATTTTTGGTTTGTTCATTTATAATTGTTAAGTGAGGGTGGCAGTGTGTCGTCTGTTGTTCTCAGGATTGCGCATCAGCTGCCGAGTCTGGTGCAGATTCCAATTTCTAAAGCGAGTGTAAATGGGTTGCTAGTGACATGAAAAGTGAAGTGAAGAAAATGGAAAGCTTTAATGGAAAAGATTTAATACTGTAACTAATATTTTTGGTGTTCCTTTATGTAGGTGTGGGATTGTCAAGTGAGGGTAGCAGTTTGGCGTCTACTGCTGAGTCTGGTGTTTCCAGGATGGTGCGTCAGCTGGCGAGTCTGGTGTTCTTTGATATTGATATCGAAATAGCCTGTTGTTCCCAAGTCTAGTGTTCATTCGTGCTTTAGTTAGTAAGAAAATTAACTCATTTAGTCTCTTTTTATGGCCTCCAAATCCTAACCCTATTTTCCCCATTGATTAATGTAATTATATATCACGATTTAGTATATACGTAGCGAACATCCTTGGACCCTATCTCGCAATATATCCCGACCCTTCTGTATAGGATAATCATATAGCGTATGCAAGATTTTATTATTCTGTCCCCAAGTATTTATTCTCAAGGAATATGCCAGGATTTGACAAGTGATGGAAGACAAACACAGTGGTCCCACATTTCTTCAAACCCTCTAACCCCTGTTGCATACAGAACTGCAGTGGACTGTACTTATACTCCATTAGTTTAGCAACTAAACCTTACAAGATTCAATTCCATTTATTTGATCTTGTGACATAAATTTCACCCTTTTATGTACTAGCATGATCTTGGAGGGTCATAACTTACATAGAATTGTAATGCTGTAGAGGGCATAAGGTAGTGACAGAACTGTGCATTTTTTTTTCTTTTTTTTATATACAAGAAGCACTAAAATATAATCATGTATCTAGCAGTGTTATGTGTCCAGCAGCACCGTGCAAGCTAATGAGGGAGAGTTTGGCAGCAAAAATACCATTTGTGTCAGGGAATTAGTACAATAAGACAATTAGTCAATCAGGAAAGATATTCAGTGGTAATAATAAATAGCTAAAAATTTACCTAGTGACAGTTCCAGAGTTCATGTAATGTTATACTGACAGTACACTTGAGTATTAGGAATCCCAAAATTGATCATCTGATGGCATGTTATCTCCCACAGCATTATGAAGACACTGCATGTTTTTTGGGCACCAGTCGGTACCACCTGTGAACTTGTTCACATTACTCTTTCATCACTCAGAAAGCAATTCAACAACTTTAGGGCTCTGCCCTTGTTAAATTACTCAAAAGGTCCAAATTATCCATTCTCTGAATTTGGTTGGTAAATTCAGATATTTTGACGAGATAGTGGGGCGTTATTAGTAACTGAAGTGGATAATTTGGACAGTTTAAGTGAGGTAAAATTTTATGAACTTTAAAAGAAGCATTTTTTTCTACAATACAGATGAAAGTTACATGGGGAGTGATGCAAAAATATGTGACGTACTGTATAGTAATAGTAATATCTCCATCAGCCGGAATCCTTCAAACCCATAACTCTCCATTAGCTGGAATTGAAAGTTTCTCAGAAAATTAGTCCCAAAGCCGGAAATTTCTGGAAAATTACGGGGATGGGGGAGTTCTTTCTGGGTTTGAGAGATGAAGATCAGGCGCATTTTCCAGTACCCGGAAAATTCCGGGAATGGGGGATATTTTTCCGGGTTCGAGAGATGATGTAATGGGTAATTTGGAACTTCTGAGAACATTTTTCCGTTACCCGGAAAATTCCGGGGATGGGGGATTTTTTTCCCGGCTTTGAGAGAGTCGTCTCATTACCTTGAAATCTCTCATTCTGGAAGTGCTCTTCGCCAATTCTTCCGGCTAACAGAGATATCACTGTATCTCAGTTAGCTGGAATCCCCCTTACCCGGAACTCTCCAATAGCCGGAATTGAAATTTTCTTGGAAAATCGTTCTCAAAGCCAGAATTTTTCGGAAAATTCCCGCTTTGGGAACAGTTTTCCGAGGGGCACATTTTCTGGAAAATTACGAGAAAATTTTCCTGGTACGGTACCCGGAAAATTCTGCGGGTGGGTGATTTTTTCTGAGTTTGAGAGATAAAAATCAGGGGCATTTTCAAGAAATTTCAAGAACTTGAGGGTAGACTGTTACATTTTTAATAAATTTGTTTCTGATTATTTGTGAGAGTATTTTCCCATTATTATTTATTTGTACTATGTGTTTTGTGTGTGTATGTGTCTACACACACATACAATACTACAGGTAAAAGAAATAATTGTCCTAAGGGCAAACACATAAAGGGAATATACATTTCTTTGTACACAAGTAAAAATGTACACACACACTCCCCGGGCCAGCAAATATTATTCGCGGTTTTGGCGATTCGCGGCCATTTTGAGAACCTAACCCCAGCAAATTTGGGGAGCCCCCTATACCTGGAAAAATTCCGGGGATTGAAGATTTCTTTCCGGGTTCATAAGATGATATAATGTGCAATTTCTAGAACTTCCGAGAAAATTTTCCCGTTACCCAGAAATTTAAAATTTCCAAAGATGAGGAATTTTTTCCGGCTCTGAGAGCGTCGTCTCGTTACCTGGAAATCTCTCATTCCTGGAAGTACTCTGCATCAATTGCAGCTAACAGAGATATCACTACTTTGTTACAAGCATTCCACAGATGACATGTCACAGACTGGTGTGTGCCTAAATAGCTTTAGTGACTGTACATTAAATCTGCATTTACTTACTGTAAAATGTTCTTAACTCTAAGTGAAATTTTAATTTTCCACAGAAGACGAATCTTATATGGATAATTATGCAAAATAATTGTTTTGATTATATAATTCTCTAACATCTGACATAGCTCAAATGTTTAGAAAACCACAACAAAGTTTAGTTAACTCCTGTGGTTTGTGATAGTGTCTTGAGTCATTGTGGCTGCTACTTTAAGGATGCTTCCAGCAACACTGGTGGTATATTGTCATTTGTCGTGGCATTCATGTGGAGATACAACACGAGAGACTGATCTCAATAAAAATTTATACAATTTGTTAAATATACTGTACAGTGGTCCCTCGGTTAACGAATTACCTTCCATAAGAATCTTCAATTCAGTGAACGAAAAAAAAATTTGATTAAGGAAATCCTTATGAAAATCACGTTTTGTTTTGAAGATCAGCTGAGAAGCTGAGGAGGTACTCAGCCAATTCAGTAATCTCTTCTACGTTTACATTCGTTTCCAATGGAGTAAATGTAAAGAAAATTGTGCTCTTTAATATTTGTGCATTTTTTTATACAGTATTAAAATTATTGGTCATTCTAAAATTTTGCCATCCAAGCTGTCTACATAAAGTTTTTCAACTATTATTTTTGGCTCGATATATGTAACTTTATTCATTTATTGAAACTCATTTACATGCACACACTGTCCTAAGGACAAAGCTGAACTGTGCATGTAATCAGAATAATGTACAAAATTATTACTAAAATTTTTGTCTTGTGCAAACTATAGCATGTTTACATTCAAATTAACCACTATCTTATAAGAATTCCAGCAATGTAAATTATATTCTCCCCGGTCACGTCTATGAAATTGTATAAGCAAAAAACAAATACTCAATCTAAAGGACATAAATAAACAAATTAATACTTCACCAGACCTTCGGCGCTAACTGTCAAAAATGTCACTGTCACCCCTCCCTCCCTCCCTCCCAACCCCCTCTCCTCCCAGCGAAGGTTTCTGGTT